CAGGCAAAAAGATTTAACTCACTTTTATGTGTAACTATTTATAAAAATAGCGTTGCATTTGTTGGGGGGAGGGGTGGGAGGGTGGGATAACAGTTGCTGTTTCTAACGTGTTATGTTCCTGAGAGAGAACTGTAAATGTCATTTCTATAATTTTTTAAAAAATAAATGCTCTTGCTGTCTAGAAAAATCGTTATCCCAAATGAAAGTTCACTTGGCTGTGGATCTGATCTAGCATCCCCTACCAATAGCAATGTGAGTTTGCATGCAGGTGGTGGATAAATAAGTGTAATATTTGTGTTAGCTCCCCTCAACTTATTGCCGCCATATATCCCTGGGAATGGTCTGCCAGCTGTCTGCTTGGACTGATAAGCGTGCCTGTGTCAATAGCTGCAATGTATCCTTGTTGCATGGCTGTGGCCAGCCTATCTGAGGTAAGCGTGGCCCTATAGTTTCTGGGGGGTTGATTTTTCAGTTAAGACTAATTCACCTTCATTTGTCCAGATGCCTACTCAGTCATTCAGCATAAAACAGGAGAGGATGGGTATTAGCTACATTCACCATGTTTTGCCTATTAAGCTGGGAACATGCACTAACTCACTAGCAAACCTTGCCAAAACTAAAATGCCATGTCAGCACCCCTTCTGTCCACCATACGTGCTCATGGATAATGAAATGCAACTTTTTCCTCACGCTATTTTTTTAGGATTAAGCCCACTGCCATGTGTCCTGCCTTTGGCAAAGGACAATAATGTTCCTCCATCTTCATGGAGACATTCAAGCTGCTTTCATGTCTCCTCCCCACCCCAACCTTGAACATACCTTGGTCCTTCAAGCCTTCCTCATCTGGCTTTTGCAGCAACCCCTCTGTCACTTGCATCTGGAGCCTGTCCACAGCCTTGTTGGAAGGCAGTGCCCAAAACTGGCTCCAGTCTTCCATTTGCCCAGCATGGAGGAGAGTGGTACTACCACTACCTCAATCTTATCTACACAGCTTCTCTTACTGCATCTCCAAGTTGTCCTCTTGCAATAATGTCCTATTACCGACTCTGCTGCTTTTGTGAGCCACTCTAAGCTTCTTGCTAATGCTACTGCCAAACTGCATATTGCTCCTATTCTGGATTTGTGCATCTACACGGTTGTTTTTTTCTTCCTTATGAGTAGAACCTTACACTGGTCTGAATTTCAGTCTGGCAATACTCCCGTTCTCAAATTTATCAAGATGGGATCTTCCTCCCAGGCTCCAAGTGGCTGCAACCTCCTGCCTTTGTGTCATCTGCAAATTTGATGAGAATAGTCTGTATCCTTACACTGCAGTCATTAATAGCAATGATAAATAGCTGTGGACCCCAAAGCCTAGCTCTTTGAACTGATCTCAAGGTATAATTATGTCTAGGTTAATGCATAGATTCATAGATTAAGGGTCGGAAGGGACCTAGTAGATCTTCTAGCCCGACCCCCCGCCAGGGCGGGAGAACAACAAAACCCCAAAACAAGAAACGGGACTCAAATGAGTCCAGCCAGGTAGGCATCCAGCCTCTTCTTAAAGACCCCCAGGGTAGGGGCCAGCACCACTTCCCTTGGAAGTTGGTTCCAGCTCCTAGCCGCCCTAACTGTGAAGTAGTTTTTGCGGATGTCCAATCTATACCTCCTCTCCATCAACTTGTGCCCATTACTCCTTGTTATGCCAGCGGGCGCTAGGGGAAACAGCGTCTCCCCCAAACCCTTCTGGTCCCCCCTAGTGAGTTTATAGACGGTCACCAGGTCCCCCCTCAGCCTTCTCTTGTGGAGGCTGAATAGGTTCAGGTCCCGCAGTCTCTCACTGTAGGGTCTGCCCTGTTGTCCCCGGATCATGCGGGTGGCCCTCCTCTGGACCCTCTCCATGTTGTCCACATCCCTCTTGAAATGGGGCGCACAGAACTGGACACAATACTCCAGCTGTGGCCTGACCAGCGTCGCGTAGAGGGGGAGGATCACCTCCTTGGCTCTACTCGAGATGCACCTGTGGATGCACGACAAGGTCTGGTTAGCCCTGCCAACCATGACCTCGCATTGTCGGCCCATGTTCATCTTGGAGTCAATAATGACTCCAAGATCTCTTTTGGCCTCCATGCTCTCGAGTAGGGAGTTCCCCATTGTGTAAGTAGGGAGTTCCCCATTGTGTAAATGTGCAATTAAAGCAGCTGCACATTTTGGGTGCTGTCTAAAGGTAGATAGAAAAAAATAGCTGCCAGTAGACTTGTGCTAATACCTCAGCACAGCATGGAGGATATTCAGCTACTTGACGTACTGCTGTGAAATTGAGAAGGGTTCTTATGATCCTAAGGGAAAAGTAGAGGGGTGGCAAAAACAACCCCTCAGATGCCAAAAGCCCCCTCTAAGTTGTTGTACAACTGCAGTCTTGGCTTGTAACCACCATCACATGGGATTTAAGCAATAATACAGACACATGGTGGGAGCTCCTGTGTTGCCTCAACTTCCACAGGAGGGGACCTTTGAGATCTTGGTTTGATGACTGTCGCTGATGGGTCATCTCCATGCCTCCAATAAAGTGAAGGAGTGTTTTTAAGGGGTGAAGATACTTAAACTCCTAACACCATGGTTTTTAAACAGGCCCAGCAAGTTATGTACTGAGCAGTAAAGCCACTGTTGCCTCTTTTGCAGCAGTTTGTTGTTGCTTTCCCTTTTGGTAGCTGCAGGCTCCCCATACTTCATATCTCACTGAGGAAGCCAAACTGGAATAAGTGCAGTTGGAAAATGTGTTGAAGTGCTGTTAGTGGTTTCAGCAGTACAACTGGCAGGTAGCGTGGGAACAGCTACAGCAACAGATTGTCTGGGCTGCATTTAGTACTGGTAAAGCCTCTTCTAAAGGCTATAAGAAGCAGTTGGTTAAAGCAAAGATACTGCATGATGCTTAAGGAGGAATATATGAGTCTGCTATTGTTAGGGGGGAAAAAAAATTAAGCTCTGATTATCAAGGCCTCCCCTGTGACTTGCTAAAGAGAGACAGACACGGGTAGCTCCCACTAGTATCAGGTTTATTTTATATACAGGAAGTGCAAAGGCTGTATATACATAGCACTTCATAAACACACACCTGTACAAAAGAATGGTCACAAGCAACAAAAGGGAAGGGATAGGAGCAGTTGCTTCAGCACACCTGCATCATCATGGAGGTCACCATGTTATCAAAGGCCCTAGAGAAGGAAGAGCACAAAGTAAAGCATTAATCTGGGATTGCTCTTTTACAAAGCTGTGCTGGTAGCAGGTAAGAAACCACTAATGTTCTTGAACAGAAGGGCTTTCCAAGGCTTAAGTAGAAGTTTTATTTTTAACCAGTGAGGTGCTCCATTAAGCAGTTATTTCAGCTTCATTAGAAGGAAAGCAGAGCTGCCTTGCATGCAGGCTAGACTCAGTGCTGGGAATCTGAAGCCTGATCTTCCACCTGCGGTAGCAGGATCTCCCATTCACCATGAACCAGAACTTAAAAGTGATGGGCAGTACTCCTTCAGCTGATCTGGTCTCTTGGAAGCAGAGACTATACCTTCCCCAATGGCTGAGTTTTGCATAGCTGCAGCCTGCCCCATTAGACATGTCTAGTGGACATGACTACAGACAAAGTA